TCTTTTTTGCGCTCACAGAGATATTAAAACACTTTTTAAAATAGTTAATGAACAGTTATGTAAAGTTGTAGAATGGTTTGTAAGTAACAAACTTTCACTAAATGTGGATAAAACAAAGTATATACTTTTCCATAAAGTATATAAATCAGAAAATATTCCTCTTAAATTAACAAATCTTATAATTAATAATACTTATATTAAAAAAGAAAACATACGTAAACTTTTCGGGAGTAAAACTGGATGAAAAGTTACTCTGGTATTGATATATAAATAGTATTGAAACAACTCCCTAAAAAAATATCGCAATGATGTTTAAGGCTAAACCGTTTCTAAATGTAACATCCCTGTAAAAATTAAATTTTGTCTTTATTAACAGTTATTTGTTATACTGCAATATTGTGTGGGCTATTACTGGCTACACAAAACTTAAGAAAATCTACAACAAACAAAAAGATGAGTGCAGAATAGTGTTTGGAGCTTATAGAAATGCTTCTTGCGAACCACTTTTACGTGCGTTCGGTGCTATAAATGTGTATAAACTCATTTTAAAAACAGATTTATATCAAGTGATGATGTTAAAAATTCATCTAGTGATTATACTAGTTATGAAATTTTATATATATTTTTTTTTAATCAAACATTTTTGTTTAAGAGTTTTTTTAAACGATGAGGCAAAATGCGCAGCTGTGGCGCACTGGTTAGAACGCGTGCTATATATGCAAAAGATCCAGGTTTGAAACAAGCTCTGGACATATTTTAGCGTTACAGTAAGGAAGGACGTGTGAACTTCCTGGTTAAATGCACTTCCGCGGCGCTCTGTGACAAGACCGTTAGGTCTTCTTGGGGCACCTAAATTAAAAAAAAAAAAAATGTGACTTGTTCTTGCCCCAGCTATTAATTTCGATATATGTATATGCAATGTAAACATTCTTTAACGGTGAAACTAATTATTATCAATAAAATTAATAATAAAAAGTTTATTCAACTATTATTGATGAAATGACATTTTTATATTACTTAACCGTTAACTAATTTGAGTTTAGCTGAGAGATCTGAACACGATTGCCAAAGAGCGCATAAAAAAAGAAAAAAGCTAAAACATAAAATCGGTTTTAGCTTTTCTCTGAAGATCTAAAACTGGTTTTATAACCAGTTTTAGATAATCTCTGGCACCGGAATCAATGAATGGTTGTTTGGAAATTAAAAAACTTGACAATAATGAATGAAGTATAAGTATAAGTAAATATATAAAATTCAAATATAAATATAATTTCTTATTTAACGTAACACGTACTTTTAAAGAAAAATGCAGAATTACATGTTTTTTGTAAATTTCAATTACCCAATGCTGTGTAATAATGGCACAACTGCATGATAAGCAGCTTAGCATTAAAACAGACTATTTTTTATGAAATAGACTATTCTTATGAAGTTAGTTTTTTAGAAAGGTATACACACTGCATGAATAAACAACTAAAATGACGGCGACGATTTGAACTTTTAGCGGTGAAACCGATACACATTTTACATTTTATATGACTTTACCAGTATATAAGTTTACGTTTAAAAATAAATAAATAAAAAAGAACGTAAAAACCATAGTTGAGTTTTTACGTTCTTTTTTATTTATTTAGTTCATCTTAACGGTCATTGGGACATAACCGATAAAATTGAGAGTGTTAAATAATTACTCGTCGGTAAAAAACTTACATAAAAATTTTTAAAATATTCAATACTTAAATATGGTGCCTTGATACACGAAGTTAAAACCGTTGCAAACCTCACAACAAATATATATTGACAAAAAGCAATAACATATAACTTTGATGAGTTAATTACTTGAGTTTGAGTTCAGTAAACTCAGCACTAAAATTATTTTTTTTTTTTGTAAAAAATTAAATTAATTAAATTCTTTTGAATCCACCTCTCAAAATGCTGGACATAAATGCACCTCTCAAAATGCTGGACATAAATCCACCTCTCAAAATGGTGGACATAAATCCACCTCTCAAAATGCTGGACTCAAAATGCAAAAAATGGATCAAGCTGTAGTAGTTTTGTTTTGAAAAAAACATTTTAGTTACAATGTATCTTATTTTTTTCATCTTAATCACCTTATTTTTTTTCTGCTTCTTCAATGAAATCTTCACCATTTTTTACAGGTGTTTCCTTGTTATTTGCATCGGAGTCTTCATAATCATCCGCCATAAAAACCAAAAGGACAACAGTTTTTGGCAATAAACTCTTAGATTTTTTCGGTATTGATTTGTGTAGAGATAAATTGAAGAGTTTAGTGGTTGCTAAGAATCTCCTTAACACGTCTTCCATCGCCTAAACGTTTGAAAACTTCAGAGAAAAAATCCAACGATATTGCTTTATCATCTTATTTATTGCTTCTTAAGCATCCTTCGATAACTGATCGATAGGTAAAAGGGCCAAAAAAACAATGTCTGGTTCGTGAACCAATAATCTATGGACGGATGTTTAATAACTTCATTGAAAAAAAAAAATTGCATATTCAGTTTTAAATATAAAACCGAAATATAATAGTTTCTTGAAGATTGGATAACGATTATAATGGAATGACAATATTTTGCTTTTAAAAAGTTATTAATTCCATTGTGTAGAAGAAAGCGTTGTTTTCGCCCTTTTCTACTACTATTTTTTTTTTACAATAATTCCTGGCATCAATTACTCGATAATTGAGAACTCTTACGTACCGATTCCAGGCATCAATTATGATTGGGATTGTAGAAATGCAGCTCACTATAATTTTATTTTCATTTTTTAAGGTGTCTCAATAAAGACGTTTTGCAATTGTCGCTTCAAAAATATCTTAAAAATTATTAGAATTACAAAAATGATACTATATATTTGCAAACACAGTGTATATAAAAGCAGAATGACATGAAAACTCATAATTTATCTTTATTTTTTAAGCAAATTTTACAATTTTTTAAACATTTTCTTCATATGTTAAGTTAAAAAAGTAATATTTATAGTCGAGGAGTGAATTTACAAAACCAGATAATTCACTTTTTTTTAAAAAAAAGACTTAACAATGTTTTTTGTAGTACTAATATTCCTACATCCTTACAAATAAAAATTAAATTTAAAAGCAACTATTTTATTAACATTTTACCTGCCTTAAATTATTCTGTCCGTGCAAAACCAGATAAAAAAAATTATTGTCGATGAAAAATAAGACAAAAATTTTATCTTATCAACATTTTTTTAAAAAAACATTTTATAAAAATGAAGGACTTTATTATAGAAAAAAATCCTATACAAAAAAACTCACTAAAATCACAAAAGCCTTATTTAAACAGCTACAATTGAGTTTTAATTTCATCAATCCTATAAAAATATCAAACGTTAAAATTACTTATTTTCTAAGGCAGAGAGGCGTTTTGCATAATTATTGATTTTTTAAATCGTCACTAGTCAAGTTGACTTCATAAAGCTTTTTTGAAAACCAGTTAGAAATAAATTTCTGATCAAAACCAGGTAAAAGTAATAATTGGTATGCAAAACCAGATAAAACCAGATAAAACCAGATAAAACCAGATAAAACCAGATAAAACGTTTTTTCATTTTGCAATAATAATAAGATCAAAATGAGCACGATTTTCAAATTTTTGTCTTGAACAATTTTTTAATGATATCGGTTGTTTAATTTTTAATATTTTATATTTTAACTGTTCGATATACTGGAAAACATTTGTTGCCTTTATCTTAGAATGACAAAAAAAGTGAATTATATGGTTTTTCAAGTCCACTCCTCAGTTAATGATCTATAACAATAATATTTAAAATTAGTGCATACCTCCTAGAACATCTTCCAGCTTGAAAATTTTTTTTTCACGTGCACACAACACTAATATTTATTTTTGATGACAAGCCAAATTTGTAGTCTCCCGACTGCACCCACAATTAACAAAGGACTGCCGCGTCAATCAACGGTACAGCCGGCATTCAGTGGTTCCCACTATAACTGCAGCCAATCTAATAGTTAATAAAATAGTTTACACACACACATACGCGTGCGCGCGTGCGTACATACATAAAAATATACATACCAGGCCCAATAAGGACTGTAGTCTTAGCGAAATAAGAACTCTGGTTTCTCAGCCCCCTCTCCCTCATCCATCGCCTATCCTCCTCAAAAAATTTAACCACCTCAATTCAAAAATTTTACAGTATTTTCAAACTTTTAAAAGCTCTTTGACTTTCTTTTTTTTCTTTCCCAATTTTTAATTTTTAAATCGCTTTTATACAAAACTATATTATTTTATATTAACGTTTAAAAAAGAATATAGGTGAAATAAACTATATTTCTTACGTCTCTGAATTAAACTAAATGTTTTAAGATTCATATTAAACGTATTATGCATTAAACATTTATTGTTGTTATTATTATTTTTATTTATAATAGAATTAATGTGAAAATCATGTCTTATTTTAAATATGACAAACATCTTTTATTTTGAGTGAAAATCCTTTTTTGAAATTAGGGGTCGTCCATAAATTACGTCACGCTATGACGGGGAGGGGGGCGGTTGGTGGTTTTGTGACGACTTATTCAAAACTCGCTTCTTAAGTGTTACTAGGGGGGAAGGGGGGGGGGGGGTTCGAAAACGGTCAAAAATTGCGTGACGTAATTTAAGGACAACCCCTTAGTAAACTTGGTATTTTTTTAAAGTAATTTATAAAAGTTACACTACAACCTCCTCTTCTCCTCCCCTTTAAGAAATGAAAAAAAAAGTTTCTATACAACATCGTATTTTTACTTCGTAAACTTTTAAATAACAACAATTTCTGAATGCTGAAAAAAAGTTAAAAGTTCTTAAACTTTTTATTTCCATAGCCTAAATTAAAAAAGTAAGTTTTAAAATTTTTTTTTTTTCAAATCAAATGATAGCAAAGCAAGAGATGGCAAATGATTTGAAGGTAAGATTAAAAAAAGATACGATCTCGTTCCGTTTCCGATTTCATTCATTACTTAAACAACAATAGAGGTGAAGGAGGGTTACAAATTGCGTTGTTTTCATTTTAATATGAAAAATGATAATGTTCAACATTCAAAATCTAATTTAGAAATAAACATTTCTTAACGAAACATGCAGTTGAAATCAAAAATATTTTAAGAACATGAAAATGAGTGAAAATGTTGATTTTACTTCTACAAAATCTAAGCAATGTGAGTAACTCATATTTTCTAGCTATTGTTTTTACATTAAAAGTTGTCTCAACTTTATCTGTAATTAAATTTAGTCAATGCCAAAGTTCATCAATTGCAAGAGATGTTGCACAGGGTTACTGCAGATAAGTCTGGTAATACAGGAAAAGAATTACTTATTCAGTTGAAATACTTCCACAATACACTATCAAGGTAATAATTTCTGTTAATCTAAATAGTATACTTGTTTATGAATTTTTAATTTCTGTTTATATGCATAGACATAAAAAAAGCAGTTCTTAAACTTTAAGAACTGTTTTTTTAATGTACTTAAAGTTAAAGTACATTTTGTCCCAGATATTCTTATATCTAAATTAAGTATCAGTTTTGATATGGAAGCAGCTCTATATGGAGATGCAAACATTCTTGCACCCCACTGCACTGCTTGAAATGCACAAATTGCAAATTTTTTTGTACAATTTTTTGCTATTATATAGTTTGAAATTTTTGTTTTAGTTTAATTGTTAGAGTTTGCATAATTTTTTCTTTATTTTTAAAATTGTTTTCATTTTTTTTAGCTGGGTCAAAGACAGTTATCCTTGTTTTAATTTAGACAACCATGAATTTAATCATGATCGCTTTCCAAATGCAAAATATGAACCTTTGTATAACACACTTTTAGAATTTATTTCTCAAACACAGTCAATAGATGACGAGGAGCTTGAATCTTCGCTGTTAAAAGCAGTTGCCTATGTACTTCCATTTCTTCCAACAGAAGTATTGTTATCTACTCCAATGTCCTTGGTAACCTGTTTATTTGATGTCACACCATGGATGCAAGGACAAATCATTGATATGCTAACTCAATATGTTCTTCCATTGATGTTTTGCTTTATTACTAAAGATGTTTCTGATGAACTTGCTGAAATAAATCTTATTATACCATCGTTGATTGCTATTGTTTTGGATGCTACATCAAGTACTGGAATATGGACAAAAATTATGGAATGTTTGATGAAATATAAATCAGATGTTGTCACAGATCTTCTTATGAATTTAGCGTATGGCTCAAACAAGTCGTTAGAAGCTTCAATACATTTACTTAACAGATATTTTGCTCCTGTTAATATTGGTAGTTTAGCTTTTTTATTTGTTTTAATTAATAGTTTTTACTTATAATAGCAACTGCTGCAACAACAATAATAGTGATATCAGTAACTATACATTTATTTGTATTTTAAAATGTTTAAATTGCTTTAAATTTTTTTACTACTTTGAGATTTTTCTTAACACTGTGGTATGAATTTCAAAAAGTACAAAGTAAAAATTATCATTACTAAATTAAGATAAGATTGCTAGATAAAAATATATTTTCAAAATAGTTTTTTTTAAAAAATATAATAAGATAAGAAAATGATATTTACCACAATTTTAAAACAATCGGAAAAATAAGTTTTATAACAATTTATTTTGTTTAGTTTATTTTGTAATCAACAATTTATTTTAATTTAATCTTAATACATCACTACCTTAATAATTCTATAATATTTTAATTAAGATTCTACAGTATTTTGATTAAATATTGAGTTTGTATGAATTTAAAATTTCTTTTTATATCGATGCAATATATATATATATATATATATATATATATATATATATATATATATATATATATATATATATATATATATATATATATATATATATATATATATATATATATATAGATATATATATATATATATATATATATATATATATATATATATATATATATATATATATATAGATATATATATATATATATATATATATATATATATATATATATATATATATATATATATATATATATATATATATATATATTTAAACAATTTAAAATGTATTCTACAAAAAGAGTGCTCAATGTTCTTATAAGAACAAAGCAATTACAAATTAGTAGAAAATCACTTAGCAAAATTTTTTTTTATTTAACACTGTGTTTCATCAAAAAAGATTTCTGATGAGTCTTTATTGATGAAACACGGTGTTAAATGAGAAAAAATTTTGCTAAGTGATTTTCTACTAATTTATATATATATATATATATATATATATATATATATATATATATATATATATATATATATATATATATATATATATATATATATATATATATATATATATATATATGTATATATATGTATATGTATATATATATATATATATATATATATATATATATATATATATATATATATATATATATATATATATATATATGTATATATATATATATATATATGTATATATATATATATATATGTATATATTCTGCACATATTCCAATGCAGACTTAAGCCCTAGTATTAAAAATAAAAGTATAACACATTGCATCGATATAAAAAGAAATTTTAAATTCATACAAACTCAATATTTAATCAAAATACTATAGAATCTTAATTAAAATATTATAGAATTATTAAGGTAGCGATGTATTAAGATTAAATTAAAATAAATTGTTGATTACAAAATAAACTAAACAAAATAAATTGTTATAAAACTTATTTTTCCTATTGTTTTAAAATTGTGGTAAATATCATTTCCTTATCTAATTATATTTAAAAAAAAGCTATTTTGAAAATATATTTTTATCTAGCAATCTTATCTTAATTTAGTAATGATAATTTTTACTTAGTACTTTTTGAAATTCATACCACAGAGTTAAGAATAATTTTAAGTATATATCTTATATATATATATATCTTATATATATATATATCTTATATATATATATATATATATATATATATATATATATATATATATATATATATATATTTATATATATATATATATATCTTATATATATATATATATATATATATATATATATATATATATATATATTTATATATTTATATATATATATATATATATATATATATATATATATATATATATATATATATATATATATATATATATATATATATATATATATATATATATATATATATATATATATATATATATACGTCTTATATATCAGGGTTGCCATCTGCTGTTTTTTTAAGCCAGATCAAGTCAAACGATAAAAAAACAAACCAGATCAAATCTGGTTTGTTTTTTTATCGTTTGGCTTGAAATTTTTGTTTTGGTTTATTTTAGAAAATCTGGCTTAAATTTGGTTTATTTTAAAGTCTTTGGTCTTTTTTTGTTTGTTCTGGTATGTTTTTCAAAATCTGGTTTAGTTCTGGTTTATTTAATAATAAATCAATTTAATCAATTTTTTTTTTCATGAAATAGTTAATTTGATGGAAAGAAAGATTTCCATTTTTTTATTTTATAGAAGAACAATCAAGTTTAAGATTAATGAAAGAAATGCTTACGTTAAAATCTTAAAACGTTAAAAACTTTTACTTGTAATGTCATTCAAATGTTGTTTTTATCCCTTAATTGCCAAAAATGTTAGAAAAATCTTACATTCAAAATGACATTTTTTGAGAAAAATCTGCCTGTATTGAATATTGTTTCCCAAGTTGAAAAGGCCATTTCAAGTCTACAATTATATCTTAAGGATGCAAAAGGTAGAGAAATTGAAAATCATTACAGAAATCGTCATTAATCATAAATTAATTAACATTACATCATTAGAGCGAGTCTAAAAACTTTTAAGAAAAATGAGTTTCTAAAAGCACTAATTTTAAACTGCTTCGTAAACCCATTTAGATGTTTCCGGAGACCTAGACCTCTGCAATATAGATGTTTACTGCCTTGGCTGTTTATGTGTTCCATTTCTAACTATTTTGTTGAGTCTTCTCACAGCTCATCTGCATAAAAATCAGACTAAGAAAACATCAAATTAAGTCTTGCATGCAGTCATTTGGGTCAAATTATATTTAATAAGGCAAAGGATTTTTTACCAGGACTTTGAAATAATTGAGTCAATTATCGCAGATGTTGGAAAAGAAATTTATATCCATATGCAAGCAAAATAATATATATATTTTACAGGTTAATAGTGTTGGATTTAGTATAGGTGTTTGGGAGTGAACTAATTTACCCACGCCACTTTGAAGGCTGGTCTGGCACCCAATTAAACAGTCACTAAATCGTTCTTCTCCTTCTCCCTCACTCTCTTACAAATTAAATTTTAGTATTCAAGGATGAATTTTTATATAAAAAAGCATTTTTTTCAAAATATAAATTATAAACAAGGCTTTGAAACAAAAAAATTATGATTTTTTTCTTTTTTTTATGGTCTGGTTTAATTCTGGTTTATTTTTGTTTCATTTTTGGCTTGTGCCCGAAAAAAAACCTGGCAACCCTGTTATATATATTATGTATATATATATATATATATATATATATATATATATATATATATATATATATTATTATTTTTTTTTTTTTCAACATCTTCACTTCCAACAAGGCTGCAAGCAACCACTATAAGAGTTGGAAGTTACTGGAAGAGAAAAGACTAAATCTGTAGAGCAAGATAACGATTGACTGATGACTTAAAAGATTGCAAATTATATGAATCAGGAAAGCAAGATGAAGGAAGCGAATTCCAAAGAACTGATGTTCGAGGAAAAAAACTAGAAGAATAAGAGTTTTTGAAGCACTTAGGAACAGTCACAGAAAAAGGATGAGACTTAATTGAATGGCGAGTAACACGAGAATGAATTTTAGTAGATGGCACAAGGGACGCTAGCTCTTTAGAGCAGTGCCCATTATAGTATTTGTAGAAAAGAGAAAGAGAAGCAACATTACGACGTTGTGACAAAGGTTGGAGATTGGCTGCCAGAGCAGGTCCAACTATGTTTACAATTCGTTTTTGCACCTTGTCTAAAAGAGAAAGAGCATCATTAGAAGATCCGCCCCAGATGTGGCAACAGTATTCCATACAGGGACGGATTTGAGATTTATAGAGATAGAGAATAGAATCTGGAGTAAGAAAGTGTCGAGCTCGATAAAGAGATGCAACCTTAGCAGATGCTAATTTTGCAATGGATTTGATATACGGTTTAAAAGAAAGATCAGAAGTAAGAGTTAATCCTAGAAGATGAATGGTAGATGACTCATCTAGTACATTACCATACAATTTAAATTATATTGAAGATATAGAATTCATATATATATATATATATATATATATATATATATATATATATATATATATATATATATATATATATATATATATATATATATATATATGTATATACATATATCGTCTTGCATGGTAGTCAAAAAGTTTTTCCCATAAACTGTAGTTTTAAAGAGCGCATTAATAAACCAGACCAGAAAAAGTTTAAAAACTTAATTTTTTTTTATCTTAAATGATAGACTGCCTGCCCAAAACAAACCCTCAGTCAATTTAGTAGCACTCCCTTGCAAGTCAAACTATTTGTCAGTCCATACAGCAGCACTCTGTTGCATATCAGGTTTTAAGATAGTCAATGTAGCAACACTTCACGCATGTTTTAAAAATATATTTTGATAAAACAATAACAAAAACACCATTAATTGAAAAAAACTTTCTAGTCATTTTTATTGCGGTTTTTTTAAAAAACAATAAAATTTAATGTGCATTAATATAATTGCTTTGACATTTCGACGAGAATAAAATGTAGCTTAATTGTCAAGGTAGCAAAATTGTAGTCAAAAGAGCATTTTTTTACATTAAAAGTCTCTTACGACTACACTATAATGATATATATATATATATATATATATATATATATATATATATATATATATATATACATATATATATATATATATATATATATATATATATATATATATATATATATATATATATATATATATATATATATATATATATATATATATATATGCAGTGCTCGAAGTGAGGCAGGATGCGGTGCGATGCCATTCCGTCACCTTTTTATAAAGTATAAACCATCCCGCCACCTTTTTAATAAATAATTTTAAAATTTAATTCAATTAAAATTTAATTTAATAAATTTATATATATAACAATGATTAGGCAGGCTGGTATTTTTAATTTACCAAATATATATATATATATATTTATATAAATATATATATATATATATATATATATATATATATTTAATCATGATCGCTTTCCAAATGCAAAATATGAAC